TTGCACCCACCTCAATTGTCCATTGCCGATTGTTTGCACAATCAGGAAGAACAGCCTCTTCGTCGAAGCTGACGGCAAAGTAACTTGTGCCATCACCCTCCACAACTTCCAGTGTCATCGTCAGATGACCTCGTAATTAGCGACATCGACATCGCGCTTGCCTACCCTACAAACATGCTCAGTGTGACTGCGGTTCGTTTGTCAATGCGTGAAGGTGTAAATGTTCAGCTGTCACTGGTCTATTTCGCCTTGCATTTGCAGTGGTTACATGAGACGCTAAAATGACGTTTGTCAACGCAGCCGTTCTTGCACGAATATCACACAGGAAATGGGAAGTTGTCTTTTCTCTGTAAACCCCGACACCCAAACATGTGCGAGATCAAAACCATGAGAAACGCCTAAGTTGGAAACAAGACGCCCACTTCAAGTTCTATTTGCTACAGAGACCGTACTATGCCATGGAACATTGCCATAGCAGCGTTGAAACGAACAAATCCAGCTTGGCCCAATCTAGCCCCCATGTCATGATTTGCTTCATCGGCAGACGATGGCAATCGGTGCAATATCATTTCGCACGCGGATTTGCGATGTTGCACCGGAAATTATCGCCTCCAAAATGCCGACGTTTTCACTGTTCCACCCCTCCACCCCTCCCCCCCTGAGCACGACTCGGCGTGCAGCGTGCTAGGCGTTGCATTGCGCGGTGTAGGTGACAACGTCGGCGGTAATTACGGCCGTTAAGTATCTTCGGGATTTGACTAGCATTGAGACGACCGCAGTTCTACAAGTGATAATCGGATGATAATAATGCGTAAATTGCTGTTAACTTGTTTAAAATATTGATTTGTTGGTTGATATCTAATAGGATTAAGGAGAGCAAAAATGATTACGTTAATCGCTTTGCATGGGATATCCCATCTGAACTAGTTCGTAGTTCAGGAAAATGTGATTTTGAATGAGGCCAATTTGAGAGACAGCTCAAGTTTGACACAGGAATCACCATATGGTATGGAAGGTCATCTTTAAATTATTGGTCGATACAAATTTTACATGTGCTAAAGTTGACACATGAGCAGTCCTATATTTCTCTTTGTATTAAAATCGTAAATGTGGCCTTACCTTGAGTAATTGTCGCGTTTGTGACAGTTGTGCGTTTTAAAGTCAGCATCAATTGCAGTTCGACATTTGTGAGCATGCAATAGCAAACATGACGTCCAACGTTTCGTTCTGATAAAGCCAACTTGTGTAGATGTGCTGCAATTGAGTATAAAGTCGTGGTGAATCTTCGAGACGAACGTGGAATTAGTCTGCTAACAGAAATGGCTAGTGGACGAACCTTTTGAAGCGATGGCTCAGCGTGGACTCCTTCCTGTGTTGCTAAACCAGGTTTCCTTCCCAATCTGCAAATAGCTGTTCTACTGTCGTTTTTGCTTGTGTGTGGCTGCTCGTGTCAACACACTATCGAATTGTGAATAATGCCTTGTTGTTTCAGGTTTAGCGTTAGTGTTGAGTCGATGATGGTATGTTAAACGAGGTAGGTCGATGCCAGTTAGTTGCCAAGTGCAAGTGAAGTTTGAATTTGCCGACAACTGACAGCATTCCCATGTGGCGCTATTTGGAACATCTTGAACGCGATTGTTGTGCATTCTAGCATGGCATATGCTCGGTTAACTTGGCCATGCAGGCGACGTCTTTAGCTGGGTGTCGTGGATACTTGAGATTTGAGTTTATGAAACCTGGCAGTGCCGCCATCTTTCTTGCTCTGTACTTCGCTACTCCTCAATTTTATGTGAGTATCTAGCACTCTTACTACAGATACCACCCGAATTTGCTTTTGTGAGTCTAGAACTTGGAATCCACTTGGTTGCGTACACCTTCGTTTCGTGGTGAAAATGCCGTTGAATCAAATGGTGTTGTACATCAACAGTTAGACAAGTTGACACTCGTTGAAAAGTGCATATCGTGCATTATGTGAGGTGATGCATGATGGTTCAAAATGGTCCTCCGTAAAGTGGAGGTCTGTAGAATCCATAACGCGAATGCCACAAAAGGGTTTTGCGTACAATTTAGCTGTAGAAACTTTGCAGACTTGATTTCTTTAAGACTTGCGCCAGGGCCGCTGTTTGTATTTTGGAACGATGGATTCCCTTGTGTTGTTTTTTTTAAAACTTGATTAATTTGTCCTTAGTGTCAAGACATCTTCGAAACCAAAAGTTATGCCTAGCTCTCTTCTGAGAAATTGGAATTTATTTTTTCGTATTCTTGGAATCATATTTTGTTCCTGATCTTAACAATTGTAAAATGAACTCAGAGACACTTGATACAAAAGCGACTATTTTTCAGTAGGTTCCCACAATTTGCTCTTTTCGTGAAACCTCGCTGAGCGTTTAATAGAGATATCGTCGCCATTTAGCAAGGTGGCAACGGCAAGATTAACTGTTAACTTTCGCGCTGACCTCAAATCAAGGCTTGTCAGTGGCATGGCAGCAATATTACAGCCAGAGTAGAGCCCCAACGAACTTCACACTAAGTGAATCCACTAGTTCACAAGTGTCCACGAATCCATACTAAAGTCAATTGCCCGTCATTTCACTCAACTCGCTTCGTTATCAAATGATTCGCCATAGCGATTTAATTTGGGTCGGTTGGTAGAGCTGACACTTTCTCAGATTAGTCATGGTTCCATGTGGCACCCATTAATCAACGGAGTTTAAATATTTCTCAGAAAGCCTCAATGTTCCACGTCTCTTTTTAGGTGTGGCAGTGGACACACACACTCCCACTTTCTAAAACTAAAAAAAGCAATTCGTGTAGGTGAAACCCTTTGGAATTCACAGGTGACGTGTGGTTCTGTCGCAGCTTGAGCTATCAGGTGGTCAATGTGATAATTGATAGGGTTGAGGCAAAGCAATTTCGCTTGTGACGATCGCCAGCGTGAGTCACGGATGTCCGAGTAAACGATGTCCTTCACTGCCACAGTTTAGACGCTGATACAATTGAAGCTTTAGACTTGGGCATGGGCTTTTGCATATGTGGTCATTCAGCTCTCATCAACCACCACGTTAAACAAGACAAGTCATCTTCTGGCACACTCGCCGTTTGGTGAGTAGGTTCCACATTCGTGCCATAATTATCGCGCTTCAAACCATTCCTGGTGAGATCATGCCGGTCAGCAAAGATGCCATTCCAATTTCCCTCGTCAGTGCGTTCTCAATCAACGTCCTCCTAGGTGTCAACTTACACCTTAGACCTTCCACATTTGATGTAACTTAGCACTGCTGTTGTGCTGTCCGTTGGCAGAACAGTCTTGGTTGAGAAAAATGCGCCAAAATCAAGGCATAACGTGGTGTTTTGCTCAGTTGCATTGACTCAGCTACCGACAGACCGGGAGGAGGTCCACACAACTCATCTACCGCTCACCAGATCTTTCATGCCGACACAGCGGAGCCACTCATGAATTTTGGGGTACTCAACATACCGTGCAGGATGGTGCACCGTGGTTTGATTGGGCCACGATTTCGACACAAAACAGGCATTCACGACTCGCTTTGTCAAAGCGCGTTTTCGGTTACTTGTGGGAATGAGCGCCAAACGGAGATAATGATCACTCACTGAAACCAACCGTAGCCTCCACGTAATCAGCAACACGACAGAAAATACCGCCAATTCTACACTTCCACCACCAGAGACATGTTGGACTCTAGCCCAAGTGCATTCCACAAGCACATCCTTTGTGCTTGCCGACTCCAGTTGGCCAGTCAATTGTCGAAATCTCATGTCAAATGATACGCGCGGGTTTATCTAATTGAGAGCTCCAATATGAACCAATGCACTTTCACATGCAACTAACACTTTACCCGTTAGCGCGGGGCATAAACCACGCCATATAAGGCTGGCGGCATATAAGAACCACAGAGTAAGGAAAAACGATGCCCGCATCAAAGTTGGCTTTCTGCAGTTGGACGTTGAAGACGTCGTGACACCGTCATATACCTGGTGTCGCTCAATACACCCACTAGCAGTCAGGTTGTTCCCCACTTTGAATCAATTTCATACAAAACGCCACTCGGAAATACTAAGGCCGTCAGCCCGGTGGCCCCATTCACTCAAGCCCTGCGAATTAAACCACGGCAAAGAGGAAATCGCATAATGCTTATGCCACCCGATCTACTAAAACAGCCCACATGATTCTCAAACAAAAGGCTTTAAAGAGTGTTTGTACAATTATATTTTGGTTTATCGAGTGTACAAAATGTGGCAATCTGCACCAGGTAAACTGTTTGTTTTTAAAAAAAGTTAAATTGACAGCACCTGTTAGAGCCGGGTGGGGTGAGTGGGGGGAGGTATAATGTAAGCTTTTGTAAATTTAAAAGATCGCAGCCACGCACACAATCAGGCCCATGCAGCGCACACCTACTACTGAGGCTACACACCAAAAGTGTGGCGATGGCAGAAGTGGAAGTTAATTGTTCGCAGGGAAAGATGAGAGAGAGGGAGAGAGAGAGAAGGGAATGTAGGGTTTGGGGCTAAAACCAAGAATCGAGGCGCTAGGTTATATACACACGCATTCACTAATTAAAGCAGGTGCACTGATGGCATGTCGCGAAAAACAACTTGCCTCAGGCGAAACGTGCTTACAGCTTTAAGTCTCTATTTTTTCATTAATTGCTTTTGCGCGGAACAGCTATAAAACAAACGGCAGCACTAGTGCAAACACTCTTCCGTCTATCTCTCGACATAACGTTTAAATGGTGCTAAATCTGACATTTTTCTTCCTCTATCACCGCTTATCACGATTCCGTGGTTGCAACAAGGTTGAATGGAGCAATTTCAAGGCTTACCCAAGGCCAAGTGCAAAGCATAGGAAGGAATTGATGGTCAATCTGACGTACACAAAGCCATCCATTGTCCAGGTAAAAAATATAGCTACACAACGCGTACCGGGGAAAAACGGAGAATGTACATTGGTCTTTTGGGCCAGAGCACACACACGGGCGACTTCAAGAAGCACCAGTGCGAAGAGGCGCTGCAGACGAGGTGGTGGTGGGGGTGGCGGCTTGGGATTGAGGCGAGGTAGTGGAACCGTTGGTCGCTTGGTCTTCCTGAGCAAGGCAACGACTACGCTTTACTTCGGAAGACAAAGTGGACGAGTTTTCGCCTTTCGCTAGCCGATCCACCGCGCGTTCACCAGTGTTCGGACCACCACCACCTTCGCCTGCTGCCGGTGATTCGTTCGGAACTCTCAGCCGTCCGTTTGTGGGAGGAAGGGAGGCATCTGTTGAATGCCGCTTATCACCGATTCGGGGACCACCGGGGTTTGTTTGAGGCTGTAATAAAAGCAAATTGCCTTATTTCACGACAATTTGAGAGAATTGTGACATGCCAAAAAGTTAAAGCTATAGTGAATCTTCCAACTAACGGAATCTGTCTTCTCCTTAGAAGCATCAATTTTAGCGCTGGAAGCGGACAGGGATCGGGGAGATATTGGTGCGGGAGCCACTGCAGGCGATAGCGCGGTGGTATTTGGTGAGTCACAATTGCGTGGGGAATTAGAGGCTGACATCTGACTGAGATTTGATCCGTGACGAGTAAGACCACCAGGATTACTTTGGTTGGCGGTAACATGTGCTGCAGACTGCTTTCTGATCTCCTCCATGTCCTCGGGAGAAATGAACTGCGACAGGTGGCTCCTGCAAAAGAGGCGGAAAAATGTTAGCAGGCGATATGCTGTCGCGGTTCGCTGTGCCAGCAACGAAAACTATCATGACACGTAACTACTTAGGATAATTGGTGTACAATGATGGTGGTGAGTGGCTACGGGGTTTCGACTAAGACGTCGGATTCCTTTAGAGACTTGTAATAACAGCTGTCGTCGTTTCGCCTGCTCTAAGACACCCAATGAAGGCTTCCAGCCACAACGTGTACTTACCTCTTTGCATACTTGACAGTAACGCTTGTGCGTGTGTCCTCAGCGGACATGCCTCGCTCGATGGCAATCTCAAAGGAGCTGATAACGTCACTCAAGTCAATGTTGAGTTTGGGAGGTGGGGCCGATGAATCGGCTGCTGTAGTAGCAACAGCAGCTGTGGCTGTGTGATTGGTTAGTGTAGTGGAGGATGTTGGGTTCCGGTCGAACTCCATGCCAATAAACCACTTCTTCACAAAAGCAGCATCCCCGTCCTGTGGACCTTTCCCATACGCACGACAATTCACATGCGCAATCTTCACGTAGCGATTGCTCTCTGCGTTGCTCACCAAAACACGCAGTCGAGACTCAACCAAGCCGCACCGCTCCATGAAGCACCGCTTCTCCTCGCCACTTACAATTACCACAACGTAGTGGCGGTACGTAAAGAAGAAAGCTGGTTCGAAGAGATCCGACCACGTGCGTTTCCGAAGAAGTATTTCCTTCACAACAGCAAGACCTGTTCAACAACAACATAATGTCTTAATGCACTAACATATCCACTAGCAGATAGTTAAATTACCTCACAAAGTGGAATGAGACCAAGCAACACACACCACACACCTTGTTTTATTTCACGTTCAATGATGATGCGATTACTCCGCTGAACGTTATACGTCGAATTCTGTGAGGGGTAGCTTGGCGTGAGGATTGGCATCAGGTGGTACTGATCTGTGGGATTATGCTAAAACGAAAATATGTATTTAGTACATGGAGGTTAGTCAGCGAATTCGAGTGAGAAATTATTAAACTGACTTACTCGTGGGTCCCATACGGGCAAATTTAAAGTTGGAATGTATTCTGATTCACGCAGGCGAACAGGTTTCGGCCAGGGCCATTGACTGAAGATTGTGAAAAACAGGTACACGATTGTCGACGGCGAAGCGCACGGGTACAGTTGGCAAATTCGACAAGTCAAGATTGCCCAACTGACGCCTCCAAGAAAGCCGATGGCATTCGAATAAATATTCTTCCGCTTCGCCCATAAGCGAATAACCTAAGGAAAATCATTTCACAACATTTCTCATCTAACCTTCAGAGCTGTTTTGAAGACATCTTTCGGATACACGAGGTTCAACATATCCTCTGTAACGCGCACACCATTAACACTACGGACGTCTCGTTCATCCATATTCCGTAACAGTTGTTCAGAATTTTCAGATAAGTTGAAATCGCTTCGTACGGACATCATGTCGATTTGTGCAAACAGTAAATCAATCTAACCGGCAATCAATCAATCGATCAGGTTTACCTCAACACCCATGAACTTCAGTTTAAGTACAGGAACAAATGCGTCTGGGACAGCATGTAGATCCTCTACAGAATCTTCCTCCGATAAAAGAGCCTGAAAATCAGAGAAGAATTCCTCTCTCGTAATGAACCGAGGAACAACTAGCAGAGCATCAATGTCTGCGCCTCTGAAATTCACGCCCAACCGGTATGAACCGAAGGTAAATATTTTGCCGGTCGTGGAGAGAGCGTTGTGCTCCGGCAGGTTCTGTTCCAGGGCCTTTTTGTAAATCCATCGGTTTGAAATTTCTTGAAGTTTGATAAGGGCTTCCCGTCTTTGATGAATCTCTTCCTGAGTTTCGAATATATTCATTTGTGCAAGAGCCTCTTCAAGAGCAGCAGAATCTTTGAGATCCTGCTCAGTTGGGGGCTTAAAATTCAGGGCACCCGTTTCTCCTAAACACTGTGGCGGTATGTCCGATGGAGAAATCGTTTGACTCATTTGGGGATGCAGAGCATTCAAGTCACTAGTAAAACAAAATATGCCATGACAAAAGTGCTTGGGGCGGTATGCCATTTAGAAATGTTAACCATGAAAAAATACAAAACGAACTACAGGCTGGAAATTAGTAAAATATGTTTACTACGGATGATTAGCCACACTAAACTAAGGTTTACTCGTTTTGAAGCATTAAGGGAAATTAACGGAGTAAGCAATGACAGACGACACCGAAAACAATTCTACTGAAACTTAGAGGCACAGAACAATGCATGAATTAATCGGTGGCAAGAGGTCATGTGAACTTACAAATACGACGTGGAAATATGGTCCCAATAAAAAGGACAGGGGATAGATACTACGAAAAGTACCGCCAGAGACTAACTAGATGGGGCGGTTAGGTTTTACAAAGCAGTTAAAACAAAAGACAACATCAATTACAAATCAAAAAAGTTGCACTGTGCTTATTATCTCTTTTTTGTGGTCATTTTAATGCGAAGAGCGTATTTACTCTAATCATTTATTGTAATAAGAATATGGATGCCTCTTTCTTAAAGTGATCCTACAGTCCTTGAATCGATTACATAAATAAGAAGTTTAAGGGTTCCTCTTCAAAATAACCCTAAAAATTATTTGCTTGATCGAAATTCTCAAGCACTGTGATGTTAAAATTGGCTAAAAAACTGTGTGGTAAAAAATAATTGCGTGCTGCATGACAATTATTTATGTGTTAGGAAATTGTATTAGGTTATAATCATTATAAACTAATCTGTTAACTTTTTCCTCAACAAATGTTAATTAGCTATGAAAAAATTGTTGGGGCAACATATACAGCAAATGGCTAGCATATTATTTATCAGTAAATGCAAAAACCTTGTCTAAACGACCTTAAAAATTATAATGGAAGATAAGGTTGATAACATCGGTTTTCAATTTGGTGAGTTAACCGGTAAAATAAAAATCGAATGAGCTAAGCATTTATAATCCTACTTCTTAATTTTATCGAACGATCCTCGAAAGAATGTACATGTTTCAAAACAGTCGCATAAATTCAGCTTGCAGTCCGATATGCGGATGAGTTCTTAAAGCCAATAACTCTGCAACCATTCTCCACTAATCTGCAATCGCAAACGGTCTATTGCAGATTTTAGCAGCGTTAATATGAATATGATACATGCAGGTTCCATTTCTGTGTGCATACGATGGTAAACGCATTCATTGGAGAGAATTTCCAATCTTACTTTTCATCTTTCGAAATTCAATGGTCTACCTATCCCGAGTGACAATTCTAGCAAAAATGTTTCACAGAAGGTGCATCGGCTATGATCAAAATGGGGTGAAAAGTCGCAGGTGATTAGCGTATTGTGTCGGTCAACTAGAAGGCCGAGATTCTGGCCTTTCAGTTATACGTATTTAGTGGCACCACATTTAACAGTACAAAACAAAAGAAAATAATTTAGACTGCGATTGATATTTTCGAAACCCAATAAATTACGATCCCACTTTATGTGTTGATATTGTAATTAGTAATTAGTTCAAGTGCGGGCATTTTCGTAAAAAAAAACTCACGTAAAGGGCTCTTTGGGTTTAGACCAGGCTTCCTAAATTCAAAACTGTGTAAAAAGGCCTCTCAGTAGGATGACCAAGTCATGAAGACATTTCCCGTTAATATCTATTGTAAGAGAGTGAAATGCGAGTCAGCCGTTTAAAATATAAATGTCCAATAAATCTGCCATTGCTAGATATTAATTCAATTTTACAGCAACAAGGCTATCACAAAATGGATAGACAAATGTGGGATAATTTTGCAACATTAGTGTACAGGGCTTTTCGTAAGTCCTGGAAGCTAACTGTAGGGTTTGAGGTGATTTCAGGTCTTGTCTCAAGTGTCAACGGTGGTTCTACAGACGTTATCAAAAGGTACTTAAACCTTTACCTGCTAACCGCCAATTAGACCCTCTTGAATCTTTCAAGGTCGATTCAATTAAAAGAAATGCTCACTAATTCAAAATGACATAAACAATTTTTTTGCTTGCATCTATTCACGATAAATGCATTCTTTGATCAAACACTCTATAAGCTTGGTTTCATTTCTATGCACGTTTAGTCAGTATAGGACAGGAAGAGGCTGTCCAGAGCGATTCCATCATGACAGCACCAACGATTTTTGGAGTAACTGAGAATGACGCAAAATTGCTGCTGAAGGCGGGGAGTCAAGACAAAATTACGAAACATTGGCAAGTAGAGAATGTGATCAAATATTCACCCCGGTAACTCAAGACAAAATCAGGTGCCTTTGATAAGCGCAAGACAGTGATGGTAAATACGAACGATTCTTAATGTCAGGCCAGTCTATTGCGTTTCATTATGTCGGTGAGTGAGCTAAAGACGTCCAACTGGTACCAGTCACCAATGAAATAAGCATGAGGCATCAATATCTTCGCTCGAGATGGCTAGCAAATATCCATTGATTCACGGTGGTGGCGTTGGAAAAAGAATGAAAGGCACAAGCAAGAAGAGTCTATGCGTAGTGCTAAGCAGACAATGCCCAGCCAATGAGGTGCATCATTTTACGATAAAAAAATCGAATTGGCCTTGAATGCCTGGAACCCGGCAATAAAAAGCAAAGATCCAGATTTTTTGTCGATTGAAAAGTTACTGTTGCTCTGAAGCATTCCTTTTGATGTTTTACCACACTTTCTGATGACTAGCGCCTGGCGAAGATATTCTAAAAAGTTGGCTGATGGTGCAGACAAGTCTGAAGGTGGGTCAGATGGTTTTTTTACTAGCAATTCATAAATCTAGATGATAGTAGCCAAAACCGATGTCAAAATATGTCGAAGCAGACGGCTTGATGCAATTTAAACTGGAAGATAAACCTTATTTAACGGTTTCTGCTTGAATGCTTTAGTTGTCCGTCAGAAATGCAACGTTTTTCTCGTTTTTTTCCGATAACTCATCTGCTTTGCTACAATAGCTTCTTTAGAACACTATTTGAATCAAACATTTGCGGCACTCATCCGCATTTCTTATGCACATGTTCTATTCAGGCGAGCTAACGTAGCAATATTTATTGTAATGGATAGCAAGCATACATTGTCGAATTCTCCGAATTGTCTTTGTTCTACTAATATTTCAGTGTGTTTACTCGTTGTTGTTGCTCACAGGTACGCTAATATTCCATCAACGAATTATCTTTAAATTAGATATCAAAAAGAAAGGGAAAAGTATCTGTGATTTAACTTGCTTTTCTGATACACGTGACATCTAAACTATTGATATGAACTTGCTCTTCTGTCTTACTTTGTTTCTACACCGATCAACGACGGTTAGAATGCATTGCTCTTGGATAATTCCAAAACTAATTTCTTAATAGTTGACAACCTTACGCACGATTAGAAAAGCGGATGCTAATGTTTTGCTTGTGTGAAAATTTAATTCCAAAAAAAGGTTTTCTTGGAACCTATGTAATTTATTTGCACAATAGTTTTGGGCAATAATGGAAAATATTGGCAGCTATGCATGTTAGTAAATAATTACAGACCACTACGTAGAACCAAAAATTACTTAGGATATTGATGCTTAATATAAAACAATCCTTTTTGCGTTAGACTATTTATTTTCACAAAATATTGTAAATGGACATTTCAAAACCGTGATTACACGCAACCAATGCGTTTATCATAAGAGAAGACTTACGCACAAAATTATTCATCTGATGTTCAAGTTATTTACTTTCGTTGAACAGAAGAACTACTAGACGTGTCAGCACTACATTTGGTGATCCGCTTGCTTTCTGGACCTATGGGATTTCATACTCTACAACAGTTGATCTGTCCTCAATTTGACTGGAAGATTTTTCCAAATGTGTAAACAAGAAATTAAACTAAAATAGTATAGGACATCATTCTATTTTAACTGTTAAAATACTCAAAGGGCGACATAAAAAGTTAGAGAATAAATAATGCATTTTATTTAGTTACATTTTGGAGATAGACAGAATAGCATAAAAATTGAAGTTTGTTTTGTAGAGCAAAAGATTAAAAATAAAAAAATGACTGCTTTAGTTTGGGAACAGCCACATATAACACCAAACCAACAAACGCACTGTTTGAATTAAGCAGGCAAGTTAGGATAAAAATCAATAAAAACTTGTGAAAGTTACAATTTCCGGCCACATCCTAAAAGTGTAGTTATATTTGTATTTCTCTAAAGAGCCACCTTTATCTTTTTCTAAGTTTCATTCTTTGTACACCGTGGGATTGCTGTTAGTCATTTTGGAATAGTTGTAAATTTTTCCTTTTCATTTTCTTTCCTGACGTTGATTTAACCCTACTTTTAAACTTACTGTGGAGAAACAAAGCGTATTTAAAATGTTTTTAAATCAGGTTGTTTTGTATAGTTAAGACGAGGGAGGTAAGTTAGAACATAATGATTTTTTCTTAAAGAAATTTAATACTGTTTTAAGTGACGTCGTTGATTGCGCAGAGAATGAATAGTGTTTGGGTTACTAGAATCGGTGAATAATGAAGCAGTTGACTTCTGGTTTTACGTATCGGGATGTTCAGTAACTTTATAAAACATTTTAAGGGTACGTATTTGTCTTGTGTCATTTCTTGCAGCATTACCGAGTGGTGAAGCTGAAACGCAAAGCCAGAATCAAGCATTATATCCGGTTCGTTATAATTTTTTTAAATAATTCTAGCTTTATTGTGTTCACTTTCTTCTGTTCGCGGTTGAATCTAATTAACTTTGATGTTTAATTTTACAGCTTGCGTTTATTATTGTAGCTTATATAACTCATTTTCTTGATTTTATATGCTGTTAAAATGCTCTGTTTTTCACTAATGTTCACCAAATTAGTTATCATTAGCTAATTTGAACCATTTTCAACAAAAGTCTTAAATTTTTTGGAACTATTATGTACTGTTTAAATAATTTTATTGCTCTGTTAGGAAGACACAATTAATGAAGAACTATCGCCGTTCATTGGAAACTCGTCACCAAGCGCTCTATCAAAGCAGCCTATGGCTTCACGTAGTAAGAGTCACTGGATACCCGATAGTCACTGTCAAGAATGTTTTGAATGTGGCAGCAAATTCACAACTTTCCTAAGAAGGCACCACTGCAGGTTCTGCGGTCGCATATTTTGTTCTCATTGCAGTGCCCATGTAAGCCGTTTGGTTGTCCTGTCTAGCCTAACATAGGCGCATATTTGATCAGTTTGATTTTACTAGCTCCTCGATGGGTTAAGCGTCGGACTTCCTGGTCCTCAACGTGCCTGCGGATTCTGTGCAACGAACCATGAAATGCTGGTCACCAGTACTGTCGCTTTTAGTGAAAGCACAGTCACTTCACTTCCCACTCCTTCCTCCCCTAACCAGAACCCAGGATTTTCTTCGTCTGACCTCGACTTTCTAGCTGATGGCCCGGATAATCTATTTCCGTCCAGCAATTCAGTGGTTCAGTCTTCTCGAGACCGCCTCTTTTCAACTGATGGCGTCCAAACTTGGCATCCACGCCAAGTTCATCAGAGATCTCAGCTTCCAAATCTCTTTCCGGTGGCTGATGACAACCCACCGTCACCGAGGAAGCCAGCTAGTTCCTTTTCAGTTGACGGTCGTCACTTACTGCCAGATATTCAAACCTTTTTTTATCTGTGGTTCAAAATGACTTGCCCTAGTTCATTGGAGTGTGTAAGTGAAGAGCCAAAATCACCAGGTCTATCATTCTTCACCAGAAGTGTAGTAAACACAAGGCAATCGTTTAACATCGGGGTGCCCGTAGGTCAGATGACTTCAAATTCATCATTATCGACTGCCCAAAGCCATATTCCACTGCAGGATGTCATGGTTGGGTCGGCCAGATGTGCCTCGGGTCAGCAAATCGTCGACTGGCTTGTCTCAAACTCAGATGGCAGACTTGACTCACGGTAAAGTTTATTCCTCAGTCGTCAATTCTGGCGTTCTGCGTTCATTCAGCACTATTTTCGCTCCAATTTAGAGAAAAAGCTTGTGCGCTATGCGAGGCCTATGTAAAAGCGTCCTTTCTTACACCAATGGACTCGACAGCCCCCCCTGGAAAGTTTGTTGATGGTCCTGTTTTATATCGAATGCAAACAGAAGTGAGTTTCCCTTTTTTAAAAAAAGGAGCACGAGGCCATCAAGTGCCCATTTTTTCCTATTTATTTTATGGAAAAAAAATGCTAACATTCACGTTCAAATCACGCAAATTAGACTTAAATGTTAATGCAGAGTTCATTGTTATGTGGAGAGTAAAGTTGAGCAGCTAAAACGTTTTTTTTGGAGAAAGTCGGGTATGAAATCTTCAACATCGCCCAGTCCTGAAGCCCTTCACGGACTTGGGAAGAGGTTGCCAATTTGCGTCATTAAATATTTCCCAAAGCTACTCTGCATTTGTTTTTAGCTGAACGATAGCCCACGATTACCAAGACGAACGCAGTCAGCCGTCTGCGACCACACCCTTCCTGAGATTTCACATGATTGTAAACCACCCCTTCCACCTACACCACCGAAATGCCATCCAAAAACCGAGGCAAGTTTTCCGCTAGACGAAGCTCTGTGCTTGGATCCTGTTTCTGCTGAATTCAGCCCTCAGAAAGTGACCGGCCAGGCTGAATTTGACCCAGCCACCTCGCATCAGGAATTGTCTACTTGTCATAGAGGTTCCACCAAACTAAGGTAATGCACTTCACTTTTGCACAGGCGTTGTCTTTTTCCACCAATAAATTTAATTACTAAATGCGTTGCAGAAAGCTTTATGCCAACTACTTGAACCGACTGATTCAACAGGAAACAAGGGATCACTATCTTTCGAGAGAATGGAATTCAGTAATATCAACAGCTGTCAGTATGCTGTGCAAAGACCTAAAGGTTGACCTGCGCCAGGTCCTGCTGAAGAACCTGCAAGCCCGCCTTACCTCTCCACCTCCTGCTGATTCCAGCCAGCAGTCTTCACTCATCGACAACTGGAATCTGCACGACTTCTGCCCCTCGAAGTATTCGGCCATGAGCGTTCTGCGATACGTCCACGTCAAAAAAGTTTGTTCTCTTTGGTACACCTGTGACCGGTCGCTCTGTGTCTGAACCTAACCAGATAGCTTCTTTGATTTCAAGCAATTTCGTCGTGGCGTTAGCATCGACATTAGGACAGTGTGCTTCGACGTATCGACAAGTTGCTGAACGGAGCACTGGATCTGTTTGTATGATTTTATCACCATGTGAATCATCCATAGTGTCACGGTAGCTCTTGTTGTGTCTATATCGCTTGGTCATATAGGGAGATGTCGTCCAGCTGTTTGAAAACAAACTCGTGTCAGCTGATTTCGCGTCGCATCCCATATCGGTCCCTAGTTGTATTCGAACTAAAGCAATTAGTCAAATGACGCAAAAACGCTTTTATATCGTCTCTAGATTGCTCTGAAGATAATGCCGCTGTGGCAGAGTTCACAGTAATTGCGGTCGCCAGGCCGTCTTTTTTTGTTTTGTGGTCTTGATTTCTCGCTACTACGTTTACCCTCGCAATGCCTACTAGGGTGATCGCTTTTAGCTGATGTAAGGTCATTTATAAGCATTCTTTTGGTACCGCTGGTTCACCCATACCCCCTTTCTAGAATTTTTCTCAACGGCAAATTCCATTATTTAAAGAATTCCCCTTGAAAGCCTAGGAAGTCACCAGCAATCGTTCGAAGCCGATCCGCCGAAGGTATTTACCGCTTTGGATACCTCCACGATAGCATCTTCTTTGTGGCACTTCATCGAACTTATTTTTCCGCTGTTTGCCACTAATGGCTTCCCCATGTACTGAGGGTCATGTTCGAGCTAGTCTTATTATGCCAACGCGAATCGGTGAATACTCCTCACAAATGCTTCAACTGTATCAGTGATATCCAACTGATTTATTAGAAGTTGGCAACAATGCGTCCCATTTCCCTCGAGGATTTTTTTGTTACCCCCGTAGTTCTTTTACCCCCCCCCCCGTTCAGTTTTCTGTACCAAAGGTCTCTTTCGACCTAATACCACAGCCTCGAATGATTTTACGATACTTACCCTATCAGTCAGTGGATTTGTTTACAGAAATCCTGGTTTTTTATAGGTTGAGAACTTTCAGAACTAACTGTTAATGTGAATTACTTGTCATCTGCATGAAAGGTTCACGTGATTTCTCGTACTTCTAAATAATGAGGCTAGTTAAGGTACCATTGCTAAGATTTGTTGGGTTTTCACCGCTACGAATCCGCTGACAATCAGCTCCTGTTTTCAAAGGTGGTGGACGAAGACATTTCATGCCAACTTTTGAACGGCGTCGCCTTCACGGGTCATTTAGTTCACAAGCACCTTCCAACACACCTCTATCGTCCCAGAATCCTCATCTTGGCCTCGGCTATAACCTACGAAAGAAATGTCTACAAGCGCACCTGGCTCGAGTCCTACGCCGCCCAGGCGAGTACCAAATGTTAACCCTTCAAAATGAAATGACTTTGCTTTTTAACACCCAATAGTATACTGTATTTTCTCTAGGAAGAAGAATACCTGGGAAATTGTGTTGCAAAAATCCTTTCCTTTCACCCCACCGTACTCCTCACTGGGGGTGGCATTTCCAATATCGCGCTTACTATGCTCGTGAAGGCGGGCATTGCTGTGTTCTGTAATGTCAAAAGGGTAATTACTAATCTGTGGTGCTCCAATTTGGTGCATTGTATCAACGCCTTCCCGAGTCACTGTCAATCCTTTTTAGTCGATATTGGCTCGATTAGCCGCGGGCACAGGAGCTGAGATCGTGGGCTCGACAGATGCCTTGCTCAGCGGTTCCTACGAGGTTTCAGGCAAACGCACCACCTCCCCAATTGGTACATGTCAGTGGTACAAGTTAATTACTGTGCCCCAGCCCAGCGGTAGGCACCTTTCATTTTCCTAGATGCCTCTTCGTGCATGAAAGCCAGACAAGAGCTTCCTCTGTTTTTGTAGCCTCTCCGAAGCCGGTCTGCATCTTCAGCTTTATCGATCTGCCCTCGTCGGACTTGGCCCAGTCCGTTCGATGGCTCCACATCCCCGGTCTGCATAGTGTCTCCAACATCGATGAGGTGGAGGACGCGTTGTGTGAGGCGGAGTCGCTTCGAATGCCAGCTTACTCAATCATCCTCAAGGGCCCTGACTTGGCCATACTGAAACTAGCTAAACGGTGTCTCAAATTTGCCCTGATGAGCTGCTTCAACGGGTATCTGGAGCGAGCGTACCTAGCAGATGCCCACATTGTACCCCACAATAACTCCCTAGAATGGGATTCAAGCAGTGCGGTAAGCAGTAAATGCCTTTCTACAGGAGACTGAGGTCACTTCCGCGTAAACAAACCGGTCAGCCTATGATCCATTGTACCCTTAAATCGAGGCTAGTGAACCAGCCAATCGGACACGCCGTATCGCCAGCTTCCATTGTTGGCGGTGCTTGAAATCTAATTCAAACTAGAGACTTGCACATAACGAAAGATGCGACTTCCACTACCAAGGTAGTTGTTCTTGTTGCAGGCGTCTATCGACACTGCAGGCTTGGAGAGTGTGGATCAATCCGCGTTGGCCAGCCACCTCCGTGGCCGTTTCTTCAATCTCTCACCACTGGTTGTGTCTGAGTTGCCGTTTCTCGCGAGCCCTCAAGGTCGCCGCACCCCACTCTTCGATTTCTACTTCTACCTCGTCGATTGGCCCGAAAGTAGACGGCTGAATGACGCACTCAAGCAGAAGGCAGTCGTGGTGCGCGCTAACATGTACGCGGCTCGAAAGCCACCGTCGAAGTACTCGCTGCCGTCTAGTGAACCCGCACGCACCTCCGAGACCCCATTAGGCGATCTCCAGTTCACTGGCGTGGGAAAACTGGCCCCCGAGGATGAGGTCGCCTACAAGGCTGCCAGGTCACTGGCTTTCACCGCAAACAAGAGAGGTTCGACGTTTCTGTGCACGTGGACTGCCATGGGTCGCCTTAACACGAAGAGTCTGTCTCAGTCCGCAGCAACCAAGGCACCACCTACGCCAAGGCTTCAAGTAAAAAAAGTGAGCCTCGATTGCAAGTATTTACCTCTTCATCACTGTCGTAGTACCAGCCTAAACTCCACGGCCAAATTTTTGTGTGAAACGAGCACTCAAAACTTCAATACAGAGTGTAGATTTTACCTATTTTAATAATTGTTGAACCGGTAAACAATTCAAGGTCACCAACCACCGCCAACCTCCCCAGCCAATAAGAGATGAGTAAAGCCCAAAGCTGCAGGTCAGTGGTCGGCGCAAAGATTTAGGTCAAAACCAACGGCCAAACACGTAGCCAAAGTCGGTAGATCGCCTTGAGGGCTTATTATTATGGCCCACAAACCCCTTTTTTTCAGCGCAAGGATAAACGCCTCACGCGCAGCATTCGCGACGCTCGTTCGCACACCTCGATGTACGTTCTGCGCAGTGTCTTCTCTGCGCGTTCTGCCATCTACCCCGAGCCCTGCCTTCCATCGTGGGTTGTCGGCATCGAGGTCTATGGTGGCAATGATTTGCCCCTGGGAGCCTTTCTTGAGCAGTTTTGCTTCAGGTCTGTGACTTCTAGTCTTGGTGGTGGTGTGTGTTGATTTGCGTAGCGCGATGTTGCAGGATTCCGATCTAGTGATGACTCTCATCGTCCCACCTTGCCCTAAGTCTGTATTCAGTTAGGTCGCAGCTATCGTCTGTCTTGGTGCGATATCTTGCTTTTTCGCTCAACAATTCGATGTCAATTTCTAGTGAAGACAGCATTCATCTATCAAATGAAGTTAAAAGGGCAATTTATTTGTGTGTTTTTTTTTCTTAACCTGTGTATGTTGGATCTAATCAAACAATTCGCAATTGGGTTCCACCGGCGACCTTGATTTGGGACACCAAAGCGCTCAGACCAACAAAATTTACACATACATACGCTCTCACATAAACACGCACACATACATCCACACTCCCAAACACGTCTACATACATACACACATATATACATACACTGCTGCACACACATGCGCATACACACTTACACCTGTTGTGAATCGTGTTTATTCGCAACCCTTAATCCGGTCGCTCCACCTCCGACACGGGGTTCCCCTTTTCGCAGCATGTCGCCAGCCTCCCGAATCCTCGTCTCCCCCTTTCATTTACACGAATATTTATCTTGGAGTGTCCCCACACATAGGTCTCGATGTTACCGCATGTATGACTCACACATCCGAGGTATACATGCACACGCGCAAACTCCTCCACACACGACACAACGACACCAACGTGTTTGAGCTCTGAAGTAAACGGTTGTGTCCTGTCCCCTCCGGTCTTCTTCTTCATCGCGGGTATCAGGCAAGCGTAATCGGGCCAGGGTTAATTCCGTGGCCCCGGCGTGGTTCTAGACCACATGCTGGGGCCCACAACACACCCGCATGCATACCTACACACACCTAAATACGTTTACACATGCATACGTATGCGGACACACACACACACCATATCCTGTGTGTTCAAATTCATCACCATCAAGTCACCCGCTTGACACGTTGCAGAAGCAAGAGTTGTCTGAATCCGGAGTGCAACACCCCAATGCTCGACCACGTGCAACGCTTCACTCAAACCGCGGGCTCTGTGGAACTAACTCTCCAGACGGTGGAGCCGGCCAAACCGGTCATTCCTTTGGTGGGTTGCGTTCCCATCTCCATGTGGACCTTCTGTTCCACGTGCAGGCAGACCTCACCGCTGCAGCCCATGTCCCTCAGCGCCTGGCATCTCTCCTTCATGAAGTTCCTCGACTTGCTCATCAACTCACCCGACTGTCTGACGCACGTGGGCGCGGAATGCAGTGCCAAACATCTCCGGCATTGTTTCTGTGCTGGCAAAACCCAAGCTACGTTTAGGTAGGCGATATAGTTTACATAAAACGCAACTTGCATTCACTGCAACCTTGAATAGACGCTGAGAGGACGTCCTATTAACCGATTCAGGTACCACCCAATAGCAATCTACGAGGTCTGCATGCCACCGATCACAGTGCGGATCTTCTTTCCACGATCCGGTCACAAAACACAAGTAGCCTGTGTAAATTCGCCAGCTGAAATGCCCGATTATTTGCGCAACGAGGTCCACGCAACGTTGAAGAAGTAAGCTTGCTCTCGTCGCCTTTTTTTGTCTATTTGTGACATTTTACGATCTCGCCTTGCCTGTGAAGCTCTTTGTTTCGTGTGCGTGGCATCGTTGGGCCTTGAGTTTTTTTAGTTCTATCTTTTGGTAAATAGGCGACTATTGTTAAGGCACAGCCTTAGCTGTAATATGACCATTAGTGGGATGTAGTCAATCGTATTTAAGTGTATGACTTAATCTTACAGACTTTTCGGCAAATTTATTTAAAATAAAAGCATCGAACAGCAAACCTAGTCTTGGAGATATTGTCCATTGTGTTCTGTGGCTGCGCCATCTCTCAAGCAACGTACGAATGCCGTCGCGAAAGCAAATCGTCCATCGTTTTGAACTGATTATCAAGCTGGGGCCAAGTCTGGTGCGAATGCCGAGTGTGGTAGAACGTTCCATCCCAAATTCAAGAGGGTCTCTCAAGTCGCGCGAGCAACGTGAAGTGGTCGAGAATTGTCATGCAGCGGCAGTAGCAACAGCGGAAAGACTTGCTTGCTTCCTTATGCAGTAAATGGCCTTTCCTGATCAAGTTATGCGCTCAGTTGAGTCAATCGTCGGCTGTAGCATTCCACAGTCAACGTCTGGCGACCAGTTTCCAGGAGTTCGTAAAGAGGCACACGCTTCATGCCTCCGACCACATACGCAGGAGAACATTATATAAGTGGATGTATTGGGTTACTTGATATCTACCCACGACTTTTACATTTAAGATTCTCGTAACTAAATGTAATATTTTCATTAACCGTCACAATATTGCTCAATAAGTCCTAATTTTGTTGCCATCGGTCAAGCTATGAAAGTTATGCGTTAAAACATTGACCTAGGTTGTGTTTGGTCGACATATGTGGGGGCACCCAGCACCCATGGTTGTGCATTTTTCCCACTTGGTGCAAACCCCTTGAAATAGCTGTTTGGGTGACTCCAAATGGACCTCATGTCGAGTTTATGTTGAGTCTTCATCCAAAAACGCTCGCAATGTCGCGCCTTCAAACTTTCGAGGCTGCTGTCATAGACGCGGCAGGTCAGTAAGATCGATATCACCGCTTCCAAAACATTTGTGCCACTGATTGCACGCTCCATAAGACACAGCGTCTGCACCGTGAACACTACAAATTGATTTCACCCGTACTTTAGCAGCACTTCTCCTTGTTGGAATGCGCTGTTTTTCAGCTGCCGTCGTAAACTCACGTAGACCCGTCATTTGACTTTCTAAAACCTTGCGTCCGATCCTGTGATAACCACAAAAAACCGCGAGATGTGATTTTAGGCTCAAAGAAGAATTCTGTGAGAAAATCAGGTCATACACGAAATGGTGGTTCTGCTATGATTGACAAATCCAGTTCCCACCAATCGGTTGGGGACGCTTAGTTGGAAGGCTGCGTGTTGTACATCTTTTGAATGCGCGTAATCTTAGTAAGGGTTGGCTGCGTTGCCGGTGTTGGCAGCGGTGTGCAAAAACTCTACAACTGAAAACCATGTAATCCAAAACTTTTGGTTTGATCTCATCTTAAACTGCAAGAACTATCGGTATTGTCGTCTCCCCTCGGTATGTGTTAACGGTCGCGATCAACAGGTTTGATTTCACGACCGGTCAAAGAATCGCATTTAAAATATTAGGTCAATTTTCGGGCGCAGTGTTGAAGATCCATATCGGTGGTTTGGGCGATGATCTTCAGCCAGATGTAGTGCTCGTTGACCTAATCGCTGGATACTGCTATCGATTTGGGGAATCCCTCTTTTTTGCTGTTTTATAACAATAACTTATGAACTCTTAGGCCCGTTCACGTGGTTGGGTTATGCGTGGCCTGTACAAATTCACTCTGCATGATCATGGTTTCCAAATCCTTGACTTTAGCGTGTCGAGACCGTCTAGGTTTGGTCGTGAACAGTGTCCATTTGAGCTTAGCTTCGCTTCTACAATTCATATTTCCCCTTTAGGTACTACGAAATCACAACGTTAGTGAAGTCCCACCTAGTGAACCTTAAAAACGACACTGTTTGTGCGGATTTGTTGCGCTTGGTCGACGCATTTGAGCAAAACTTGCACGTGAGTTCGTTTTAGGTGTTTGTTCTTATTCCGGGGGCCTTATAAAGTCCTGATTATCCGCCCCTCCCCAACGGTGTCAAAGCAGCTTATTTACTTTTGTAGTTAGAGTTTACCAAAAGTCAGGTTAAGTCGCGGATAGAGGTACTTGCATGCCTCTTCGATTGCCTTTCCCCTACCCCACCATCAACCACTAATCCGGATGAAGCGCACACCACCCGTCTCCTCCTCAACTCACCAATTGATTCTGTCGCCACTGACGTCTGTTCATTGGAGGAAGTTGGTGCTGGAACATCCGATGATAACGACAGCCTCAACTCTGCCGACATCGACTCCAAACCTGCCTGGAATCGGAAGCTGGTCTCCCTGTCCTACGGTAAAATTTCCCTAAAAATTTCTTCTGTTAAGCCTTCGTTTGCCAACTCCCTTGAAAGCAGAGGCCACTTTAGGTGAACGCGGAATAGTGGAGAAGATGTCTTGACGCCAAACGTACCTACGGGCACCAAATAACTCCATCAACAAGAGAGATTAAGCTCGTCCAGGTTGTATGTGAGGGTGACCCGTGAACTACACATGAGCGCTTGTAGCTGACCATAATTGTTACTGGTATCGACTGAACTCAATTGTAAATCCTCGTTTTACACTTCTGGCACCATTTTTATACGCCTTGTTAGCGTGTCATTGCGAAAAATGACGTCAATGATTGTTTGCTGTTTAGATTGGTAATTTGCACACCAAGAAAATTTCCCTATATCGCCGCAACCTGAGTGGCGTGTCGTGGTTGCTTTCGCATTGCTCATTATTTTGTCTTTAGAGGAGAAAATAGCACTGATTTCTGCTCTGCTAAGCACCATTAAACGGTGGCTTTTCAATTTCGCCAACGACTGGAACACCCGGTGAGATATTGTCTCTTCAGCATACGCTGAACCCAGCGTAGTTGTGGGTATTTTAATGCACAGTGCGTCAACTCTAGCATCTCCCAGTTCAATTCCACCGCGAAGATGCTCGAGAAGGCTCAAAGTAGGCAACACCGCAGGCAGCATCAGCCCCTCCCACCAGCCCAAGATCCACCCCCTGATTCCTGTGGCTCTGTTGAACTTGGCGGCGTGAGGACTGCGGCTTTTGAGTCTTATCTGGGGACGACGCCTGATTTGGACCTGGTGTCGGAAGAAGCGGGTGAGTGTGGAATTCCCAGCCATCTCCTGTGGCTTCTTTTACACACTGCTTTATTATCGAAGCCGCCGTAACTGGGGTTGTTTTTGTGCTCTGTAGATTCGGCAGGATGTTCGCGTAAGGATGCTTCAGACGGAGCCACGGCCTCCTATGCAATTCCGGAGCCACCGGCCGACAACAAACCAGTCACCACGGTGGAGACCGTGAAGCGTCTACTCACGGCGATGCTGCCGGGTGGCGGTGACCACAGGCTGTGCGCCGATCCACAGCCCCCGTCCGAGCACCCTCAAGTGCCCCCGCCGAACTCCGGGAGTCCTTTGTCCCTCGCTCTGGCCCTCCACCCACTGACGTCCGTGGACGCCTCGCACACGGATGCTCCGCCTTTGATGTGCCCCACTGAAGAGCTAGTTAACGAGATTTCCAAAATTGCCATCCTCGAGGCATCACCGGATGTGTATATTATGGACCAGGAGATCACGACCATTATCGCGTATACACTTGCGTAAGTACTGGTGTGCCTTTAACCACAACTGTTTGCATTACATCATTGTTAAGAATATCCTGTGGTGAATCGGACTGATTCGAGTCCATTAACACAGTCGTCGTGTTCCAAGTTGTTGAAGGTTTGGGCGTGCAATCTCGATTTGATGGTACAGTAAGATCAAGACGACTGCGGATGGCAGAGATGGCGCAATTTAGCTGTGTCGCCATGAGAAGGAGATCAGTGTGGCGAAGATCAATTCAATTCGTTATAATCGTCATACTTGTCCATGCTTGCTACCGTCTTTCTCGTCTTTTCTGATGTTGTCGGTTACTTTGGCATCTTTTTTGTTTTGCTCTACAGCTCAGACGCCTACTTGATGAAATTCCAGACTCTTCTCACGCAGCCTCAGATAAATAACAGCAGCAGCAGCAGCGCTCAACTGAAACGATCAAATCGGTGATGCCTGGTTCATAATACACCTCCGACCTCAAGTATCCGCACATAACTAGTGTCCATTTTGTTCTGGTTTTAGTTCGTTGGAACAAAAAACTGCTGATGTGGTGGAGAAACGTTCCAGCCGTCGCATGGGTTCCCTCACATTCAAGAAAGGTAATGCAGCCAATAATCTCTGTCTACACTTGTTGAAGGTCATTTGGCTGGAGTCAGCCTGAGCCATTAGCTGATCGATTGTAGTACTCATTGAACAGCCAAGCGTGTATATGTGAAGCATGCACTGGATCGTCTCTTTTAGACTCACTGCCGTCGCGTTTATCAACACTTGAGGAGGTTGAGGAGGTAACTCGTGCCGCGGAGTCCTTGGAACGTGTCGACCGTGACGCCGAGTGTGGCAGCACGACTTCAGACGAGACCAAGTCGTCCAAGGCATGCCCCTCTGCCGCCCCCAGTGATCCACACATCGAAATCCGTACGTTATCCACCCCTACCCTTTTCCGATGCCGATATAATGTACTGCCCCCTTTCTTTATCATGCCCACAGAATTTTCCGATGCAACGACGACCTTCTTCTGTCGTGTCTACTACGCCCAGGAATTCCACCAACTGCGTAAACTCATACTACCCCAAGGTGAAGCAGCGTGAGTCCGTCTCTATTGCTCTATCCGGTAATCGTCGTACCCTGCTATTTGACAGTAATTATTGTTGGCCTTTTAGGTTCATCCGATCGCTTTCACGCTGCAAAAATTGGGACGCACAGGGCGGCAAGTCTGGCTCGTATTTCATGAAAACGCACGGTACGTCCTGCCACTCCACTTGACTAGAAATCAATCTTAGTCGCATTGCTAATCGCACAATGCCACGACTTGACTGGGGCCTTTTTGGTTCTTTTTTTAGATGAGCGCTTTGTGGTGAAGGAGGTCTCGGGGATTGAGTTGAAGACGTTTCACGACGTAAACAGGCAGTACTTTGATTACCTAATGTCAGCAGCTTCCGTCCAGGTGGGTGTTGTGTAGCCCTTCTATCGTTGATATTTACTTGACACGTGTTCTCTGCGACAGCCGGGATCGTTAATTTTATCGTCCACGTCCGTGGTCTTGAGTTGGTCCACATCCTTTCACACTGGCATTCTATGTGCCCCCATGTGACCTTGAGCGACAGGAAGATCGGAGACAGTGGAGATGCAACAGTGTCGTGTTCTGGTGCTTCGACACTGCTCGCAACAGATCATGTCTGACCAATGGAGTAACAGGTGGATGGTACGTGCACAGGGGTGAATGAGCAGATTGAAAGGGGATGGTGTGTCGAAGGATGCGGTGACAGAGTTGATGCAAGGCAATCAGCACGTTTCACCACTACTGATTGCTTGCCACTGCTTAAAACACTGTCACTGACGTGCTTGGTATTCCATCGATTTCCTCATTGCCATCAAGGTGTTTTCCGCCTGCTTTTGATCCTGGGTCCATTTTGTCTGTCGCACCTGCCGTGTCTACATGGTCACTGCCAGTTGTAACCGTTTCAGCGCCTCTCACTGCTGGCGCGGATCTTCGGGATATTCCACGTCGACTTCAAGAACTCCAGCACCGGCGAAACTCGGCGACTGGACGTTCTCGTGATGGAGAACCTCTTCCACAATCGCCCCGGCATCACGCAGATCTACGATCTCAAGGGCAGCCTGCGAGGCCGCTTGATCGTCAACTCGGAAAACGCCGCTTCCACCGGCTGCACCTCTGGCCCGACAACTACCGACACATCCACTCGCCGTGCCCTGGGGGCTGACTCAGGCGCTGCCACCACCACGCAGGCGCCTGTGCTGTTGGACCAGAATTTCATCAACGAGTCACTCGAAAATCCCATCTACCTTCGACTGCACTCAAAGGTGCATTGTAGTCCGGCTTTCGTGGGTTGTAGTTGTTCAAGCCGCGTGCAAATGTGTTCTCCTCCACCTTCCAGAATGCTCTGATGCACTGTCTCAGCGTGGACACCCAATTCCTCACGGACCTCTTCATAATGGACTACTCCCTGCTAGTAGGAGTCGACGGCGCGACTGGTCACCTGGTTGTGGGCATAATCGACTACCTGCGCAAGTTCACCCTCAACAAACGCCTCGAGATGTTCATTAAGCAGACGCTCACCAGCGTGCAGGGTCCCATGCCCACGGTGATCATGCCGGTGGATTATCGCGAGCGCCTCCTGGACCAGATGGAGAGGAATTTCCACCTCGTGCCCGACCAGTGGTACGACTCCCTAGCCAACCACCGCGAGGTCTGGAGGTGTTGACGTCTTTTTTGTATAGTTCTTTTCTTTTTCTTACCCCAACGGCTCCTTCTTTACTTGCCTGCTTTTTGAACCCTAGCCCTCATCACACTCACGCGCACACACACACAATCAGCTGACTGCTCTTTGTACGAGGTCTATGTAAACATATTTTTGATAAGTCGTGTTAACTTTTGTGTTTGCGTTCCGTGTGTTTATTTGCGTAATCTGATTGCATCCCCAAGGCTAGTCGCTTTTCCACAATTGCTTTGGTACCTAAGAAGGAGATGAAGAATGCTGACCCCACGGGGTCATCCATATTTATATGCACATGTGCTATACAAATGTTTCGTCTCAAACAAATCCATCAACGCTATATCATGACACACGGTAGTTTAAGCCAAGCTGTCCTGTTCATTTCGCTTGTTTTCCCGTTTCTAGTACTTTCCGAAATTGTCGACTTCCTAAACCCTCCGAAGCTGCCAGTGCTTCGGCTCAGCACGTCTTGCTAGATAATGTGTCATGTTAACTAACCAATGCCTGTGGTATTTCATTGCAACCGGTTTTGAGCGACTAAAATGCGTGAAGATGCTCCTTCCAAGGTCACTTGCCCTTTGTGTAACCTTGAGGAAGCGCTTGTTCGTTGTAAGAGTGTTAAGTCGCGTTAACACGAGGCTTCCCCACCCGTTAGTGAAGTATGCATTTTAGCACCAGTTGACACCAGTGATTGCAAAATGAGTTAATCGTGCTGTCCTTTCACATTACAGGTAAGTAATGTCGCCAGACAAAATCAGCCCTCGAAAGCAGGAAAAATTGACCATTGCGTAAGCCATCTCGCTTAACCTCAGTTCATGAGTTTGTGTGACAGCACAACTACCGGTTTTTTTGTTGCCTTCATCATGCCCTGCCTTTTGACCTAACAACGGACTAGTCGACTTACTATCGCAGCTGTGTGGTAGCACTTACCTTGCCTGAAGAGCGTGTCTGTGTGTGAATTGTTGTAGCCTGGTATGCGATTGTTTCCACCCCAGCATCGGAGGCGTGGAGAGCCACATCTACCAGTTGGCGCAGTGTCTACTTTTACGGGGCCATCGAGTGATCATCATCACACACGCCTACGGCGATAACTGGCAACGACAAGGCGTTCGCTATATGGCCAGGGGACTCAAAGTAGGTCCTCTCATCCATTAATCCAATTGGAATCTAAATGTGCAATTGTGGAACACAAGTGGATCCCACATTGACGGTTTTCATGTCGCTTCATTCGTAGTTCATGCCAGTTTACGACAACAGTCCTTCCAACGAGATTTGGAAATCAGTGACCACCACAGATTTAGCTGTGAAGGGGTTCTGGCACGTGGAGAGGCACTTGTTGAATGCTCAGCTTTGAGAAGCAGCCATTGACCTGTATTCATGATTGACGTAGTCGAACCACCAGGTGCCTTGCATTAGCGTTCCACATTATCACGGGAATCAAAGTAGGTCCTCCACTTGGCTATAGATTTTGTAGAAAACCATTCAGTAATCCAATTGGAATCTAAATGTGCAATTGTGGAACACAAGTGGATCCCACATTGACGGTTTTCATGTCGCTTAATTCGTAGTCATGCCAGTTTACGACATCTGTCCTTCCAACGAGATTCGGAAATCAGTGACCACTACAGATTTAGCTGTGAAGTGGTTCTGGCACGTGGAGAGGCATTTGTTGAATGCTCGGCTTTGAGAAGTAACCATCGACCTGTATTCATGATTGACGTAGTCGAATCGCCAGGTGCTTTGCATTAGCGTTCCACATTATCACGGGAATTAAAGTACGAAATGCAGAGACGTGGTGTGTTGGAATCCGTGGAAATCGCGGTGGTGATGCTGCCCATCCTCAAGTAGACCTCTTCACACAACCCTTGGTTGAAACCCCTTTACCGCCACTGCGTGGAATACACAGCTGTAGTTGTAGACGGGCACATTGGTTTGCTAGACAAATTTGGACTTTCAAGCAACTTCGGAGCAAGAAAGTAGATTATTATTATTCATGGGGCTTAGCTTATTTTGCTTCTGCGCCCTACAGGTCTACTACATTCCGTATCGCCCCTTTTACAACCAAGTGGTTTTCATCACCATCTTCGGTCTGCTGCCAGTCATTCGCGACATTTACATCCGTGAAAATGTGGATATCGTTCATGGACATTCGGTTAGTGCTGACATCGACCTTATCTGACACTCCTGATTCTTAACGTTAGCTATCACCATACGATTCAGTCACGTCATTAGTAAGCAGACGGCTTTTCAGGGGGGCTCTTGTTGATTCTCCTTCAGGCCTTCTCGCCCCTGGCTCTTGAATCACTGATGCACGCGACAGCCCTAGGCCTGCGCACCATCTTCACGGACCACTCGCTCTTTGGGTTCGCCGACCTCTCCTCCATCCTCGCCAATCGAGCCCTCTTCATGTTCCTCAACGTCGTGGACAACTTCATTTGTGTCTCGAACGTGGCCAAAGAGAACACCGTCCTACGTGGCGGCATGGAACCCGAGCGTGTCTACGTCATCCCCAACGCCATCGACTCAGCCTCCTTCACCCCGGACCCGAGTTCCAGGGATCCTGACAACAGTACGCTCTTCTAACTGTTTCCATCACACATGGAATGCGGCGGTTAATCTTAGTGGAAACGGATAGTGCTTGTTTTCTTGCGGTTGGTGTCACCCTGAGGCAAATATCATTTCTAAATCATTCTTTCCCGTATCTTGTAGTAAAAAGCTGGCATTTAGTCTGACATCGCCTCGCCTAAGTGTGTCCCATTTACTTTCTATTGTAGTTACCGTTGTCATCGTGAGCCGATTGGTGTACAGGAAAGGCGCTGACTTAATGGCCGCCATAATTCCACCTCTGTGTTCCACTTTCCCGAATCTTCGTTTCATAATCGGTGAGTTGCTGGCTTATTGCACGGCGAAATCCCGCTGTAATGGCACACGATTTCGTCGACAAACCTCGCTCTGGAAGTTTTTTAAGCCCTTAAATTGGGCCAAGAGTGAAGAGGACTTGTTTACCAATCCTTCATTCGTTGGTTCAAATTATGCGCCAAGCAATAACAGCAAAAGCTGCTCTGAGAGTTGCTAAAGGCCTGCACGTTAAAACAAGACAAGACAGTTAAGTCTATGTATAAAGTTTGGATTATAAATCGCTGATGTGGACATTCTTGGATCACTGTTCACCGATTGAGATGTAGTAACGTACAAGGGCGTAGATGTGTTGGATCACGTCAAGCTCAGCCAATCATCTGTCAGCTTGCGTCTGATTGGCCAACGTTGAAGATCAGCAGCCAACCAGAAACACGGACGAGTGAGATGCACTATAAGGCCTGCTCTGTTGAACCTGTCTAGAGCTAATGTTACAACAACATCCAGAACAGTAAATTAAGGAATTAATTTTGAATGTGTGCGTCTTTTTTGTAGGTGGTGACGGTCCGAAGCGACTGGCCCTGGAGGAGATGCGTGAGCGCCACAATTTGCACTTTCGTGTAGAACTCCTCGGCCCACTGCCTCATCACAAAGTCCGCGACGTGAGTTGATTTCTTCCCACTAGTACGTTTTCGAGAAAAATGGGCTTCTGTCTACGCATTCTCTTTCAGGTTCTTGTTAGAGGCGACATCTTCTTAAACTTGTCACTCACGGAATCATTCTGCATTGCAATTGTGGAAGCGGCTAGCTGTGGGTAAGCCTTTTGGTCTTTTTACTACAAATTCCTCTTAGTTGCAAACTACTTCCAATAGGAGTGCACGAAAACTCTCAGCTTTATTGTCATTTTAGCCTCCTGGTTGTGAGCACAAGGGTGGGCGGCGTGCCTGAGGTTCTGCCTCCTCACATGATCCGATTGGCTCCCGCCAGCGCCTCGGGATTGGCCTCCACTCTGGCCAATGCCATTGAGGAGGTGCGTCAGCAGCGCCTTGATTGGTCGCGTGAACTCGCCATGGTACGATCCGAGTCGGTCGATTCAGCCTGTGACGTTGCTGTGCATCGAAAGCAGTCACGCGAGCGATCCGTCAGCTTTCCGCTCCTGCCGGCAGACGAGGCTAAAGGTTATGGAGCAGAATCAATTCTCGGCTGTGAGCAGATTCCGCGCGCCTCGCAGGCCCATTGGCCTCCTGCGTCGGCCTTTAGGGTGGCCTGGCAACGCCACAATGATATCCACAAGTTTTACACGTGGACGGACGTAGCCAAGCGCACGGAAAAAGTCTACCATGCGGCCATGACGCGATCCCCAATTACATGTCGACAGGCTATGACCGCGTTAGTTGTGGCTTTTGTTGTTTTTCTTATCTGTTATACTTTGTACCACTCGATTGTTGAAGTTGCCGCTCTGAGAAACTAGAAATGATTTTATCTATTAACGATACTACTTATTATATTTAAGTAGGCACTATAATTTACAATACGAGCAACTCTTGGAGCAGCATTCTTTCGTAACGATGTTTTTTTGCACTACAGAGCCTACCGAAAATTGGGACCCGTTTGTGGAAAGATTATGGGAATTGCGTGGGCCATCGAATGGCTTCTTATCGTTATACTGGAATGGCTGAGGCCAGCAAATGCAAGTTACACAGCTCCGTTCATCATTTGTGCTTGCTTGCTTGCTTGCAATTTCTACCATAACTGACGGTTTAAAACGCTCGCTTAGTGCTTCAAGCAAATATTCAAGCAGATATGTGGTAGTTGTGTGTCCACAAATGACAATTTCAATGTACAAAGAGCCATAGTGTTGTTTTCAACCTTTCAGAGAATCGATCGAGTTCCATATTTCAACACGACAGCCGCCCAGTTCAAGTCCTGGAACTCTGACAGCATTCCATTCGGGTATTCCATCGTCACAGATGCACAGGTCTCCAAACGCAAGCCTACAGCGCCTGCTAATGTCGCCGTAGGCAGGACAGATTTGCTCACTGAATAGGATTTGTTATTTATTGTGTTTTATACCCCCACAATGGTTATTTTATGCATCCTTCCCTTCCTTGTCGCAGCCTAATAAAAGTGAACAGGGAGGAAATTGTCGTCAATTGTAGAATCCCACAACGTATGTGCGTTGTTCCGAAAAAATATTGCGAAAATAAACAAAGTAAACGAAAGACGTTAAACGGTATAGGTATGCAGGTGCAGACACAGAGTTCAGCCAATCCGCTGTCAATGAGCGTTTGATTGGTTCGCACTGGTTATCAATAGCCAATCAGAGGCAAGGATGAATAAAAAGCACAGTATGATTAGCGGCGCAGGCAGTGTCGTAGGGTAGTTCAAATAGTGTTCCAGCGTAGCCAGTAAAGTAAAATAAGCTGCTTTACAAGAATAACGAGGCAAGTGTTACGTCAAAACGCTCCGCTCCTAGATGGACGCAGGATCTCGTTTCGGAAGTTTTCCCAGTTTAACCTTGAGCTTCGCAATTTAGACGCGCAGACAAATTACACCGTTGAGACTGACCCTCCTCATTATGCTGTAACGCCGTGATCAAAGCTGCATTTGAAAGGCCCTGAAGCAGCTCAGGTGAGGTTCAGGAAAAGAAAGAAAACCGTAGACAGTGCAGAGCGCTATCGGGATGCATTATCCCCGTAAGTGTGCGGTTGTAAGCATATCGATAGCGTCAGTTTCCATAGAAATGGTCAACATCGCTACGTGAATAGCGCTTAGGATAATCGATTTAACCCGTCCTCCCTCTGGATTGTTGTGAATAGTCTCTTGTTGATTGCCGCAACGCAGGGAACTGTCATAAAACGTTTCGATTTGTCGTTAATATTAGGAATTAATTGTGAGTTATTTTGATGAGGTTCTGTCATGAACAGATCGAGATCTCCTGGGCGCAACACAAAGAGTTTGGTGTCCGCATTCACCAGTGTAAAGGCACACGATTGCTGCTAATCACAGACTCAATTTGGAAATAAAACTGTGGTCACTGTCGTTCAAGCCGACATAAGTGTATCGAAATTTCCAGGCCAACAGCTGTAGAGATTGCATGCGTCAAATTTTAGCTCAGCTCAGCGATTTCGGGTCTATTGGCACAGCACTGATCGTTTGGGTTACAGTGTCTGAATTGTTCCCGAAAACACTTGAAATCGAATCAACAATTTTACACACATCACAATGTGGGAGTTTCACGGGAAGAATTAACGAAATTGATTTACTCGTGTCGAGCAACAGGTGACCACAGTTAGCAATCGTGAGCGAACGCCGTGTGTGCAAGCGTGAGCGAACACGATTCAATCGATTTTCCTTCAAGGATCGATATTTAGTGTAGCTGTATAAACGCACTTGCTATCTTGTACGAACACACACCGCTGAAGCATCAATAAATAATTTGAGCTGGGCGTTATCTGGATTCTTCCTCCTTCTTTCGACGAACCGTGTCACCATTGATCATCAGCCCTGGTGTGGTTCCCAAAACCACACTGAGAACCGCAATAAAGTTCTAAGTTGGGCATAAATCAATAAGTTATAAAGACGGAGGAAGGTCCATCGAATCAGTTTGACTCTCTTGTCACGCCTGCATTCCCGACGTGAACGTTTTTTAACCTTTCTGACCTGGAAATTGGCGATTTCCCGGTACGACGTCTCACTTCCTAGCAAAAATGTCACCTTTTAAAACATTATTCCCCCCTTTTAATAGCAGCGTGTGATTGCTACCCTTAGACAACACCTGACTCTAGGCCCCGATTTCGTTTTTCCGCTCAACCTTGATTTCACTCTATACACACACCCTGTGTCAGAATGGCTTCATTACTCAATTCCCGCCTAGCTAAACCAGCTTTTATCTCTGGCCTTCAATCACCTCCGGACGACTCTTAGTCTCCGGCACCTGATGATTCTCCTGACGACGCCGAATCTCCGGACGCTGCCTAACTTCAAGACAATGAACATCGATAACCAATCATCCTAGCCTCATCACTCGACTCTCGTTTCTCTTATCATGGCAGCATATCTGGACTCAACGATATCGAAATTCGACGCTTGCTTGGCAAGTCTGTTTGATCTCTTCTCGGCTTGATTTTTGGATCCTCAACTAAGTCGCAAAGCCTCAACTATCTGATGCCAAAGTTCTGGCGTCACGCAACACCTATCTTACGATCAAACTTTCAAATGTAGCACTTGAAGAAAAGATTGTATCTCCCGCAGCGAAATTCATCTCAAAACGACTTCTGATAACAAACAATGATGCCAACCGTTTCATTTACCATAAGGCTATGGCAATTCGCCTCGTTTGAACATTTACTAGGAACAGGTTTCGATTGAATTAAACCTACCGCATACCTGATGGAAAAATAGGTTTGTCAGTTCCTTTTACCAAGGACGAGAGCTGTGGCGAGCAGCAAACCAGAACAGTTAGCAATCGTGAGCGAACGCAGTCAGCGAACACTATTCAATCAATTTTCCGTGCATGCACTTTACACAACTACGTGCGTGCAGAGATCGATGTTTAGCAAAGCTATATAAACGCACTCGTTATCCTGTACACACACACACACTGCCGCTGCTGCTGCTGCATTTATACATTGGTTAAGCTACGCGCAGTCAGCATTTCCTGACTCATTTTTCGGTCGGGGCCTCATCTGGGTAAATCGCCGGCCTGTGGTGGTTCCCAAAACCACACTGGGGCCCACTACACAGTCCTTCCTTTGGAGGTCTTTGGTACGTGTGGTACTAGTGGTAGCAGTAGTACCAGTTGCTGTTGTTGTCGCTTTAGTAGTAGTAGTAGTTGTTGTTGTTGTTAGTAGAGTTTCAGTTGTGGTGTGTAGATTAGAGGCAGATGCAGGTGTATAGGACGAATATTGAGTGATTCGAAGCGGTGTGAGGATGTGGAAGGTCGTATGGTGCTGAAGGGATGTGATGGCCGCCGATGTGGCCTAAGACCAGCGGGGAGGGCAGTCGAGAGTTGAGGTGGAGCGGATGGATGGATGGGTGGGTGGGCGAGTGAAAGTGGTGAGG